GTCGCAAAGGTAAAACTGCCTCACCAACAGTTTGGATATGGGGGTGAGAGGGGGGGGGGGGGTCCAGGATGACTCCTAGGCTGTGAGCCTGGAGGACTGGGAAGATGAAGTTGGCCTCTACAGTAAGAAGGAAGGTAGACAGGGAAGAAAATGAATTCTGTTCTGAACAATTAAGAGTCTGAGGTTTCTGCTGGGCATCCAATCTGAGATGACTAGAGGGCAGGTGTGAGGTTGCAGGTCAACAGAGAGATTAAATCCGTGGCAGCTAAAGAGATCCCCAAGTGAAGTAACATAGAGGGAGAAGAGAGTCCAGGACTGAAAGCTGAGGGACGCCTAATGGAAGATGCCAAAAGGTTGGGAATGGAGAGAGGACAGTTCACCGGGGTAGTTGTGGTGGTGGTCTCTGCCAGCCATCCAGTGCCCACAGGTAAAGGTGAACTCAGGTCAAATTCTGTGAAAGATTGTCGTATCACTTCCGTACAGCAGCCAAAAGTGCGCCAAACTACACGAAGATACTCCTATAAAAAAAAGATTAACATTCTCTAAACAGGCATGTTGATACCTCAAGTATAAGAAGAACGGAAAAGGGACTCAAGAAAAATGTTCCAGAAAAAGTCTCTATGACTGAAGAAAGGTTCTTGGAATCTTAGCAACCACCAAGTACATCCGCAACTGTTATAGAGGCAGAGCATCACTTCCTAGAAAAAACAAAGTGGCTGAAAATTGAGATCTTCTGAAGACTGACTAGTGTCAAGAGGAAGACAGAAAACAAGACAAAACCCTCAGAAGAGATTTTTATAAGCATATCCAAAATCAGCATTCTAGCACATTTACTGCAATAGGCCTAATTCTATATGACAAGATTTTTCTTTTTATTATGATCTTGACAAACATCAACAAACATGAATATTTCCCTATGCTAGTGGTTCTCAAAGTGTAGTCCAGGGACCCTGAGAATCCCCCAGATCCTTTTCAAAGGGTATAAAAGGCCAAAACTATTTTCATAATAATATTAAAAACTACATATTGTCAATTTTCTGCTATCTATATATGAGGTGATGTAAGGGTTCGAATGATCTATGAATGGCCTCTAAAATTTTTTGACTGCATTTCCCTATCAATAAAAAAATTAAGCATATTTCTCTAATATATACTTAAAAATCATATACATGTGCTATGTACTAATATGGATATTATGAAAGAAATTAAATGGATAAGATAAATACAAAGTAAATAATTTGAAAATAAATTATTAATGTTTCAAAACTTCTGCTCTTTTTAAAATCATTAATATCATCTTTAATGAGAGAAATGTGATTGAATATTCTTCATTACTTTTGAAAATGTTGGTTTAACACTTTGCAGCACAACACACTGCAAAATGCTAAAAGCAAATGAATGAGTAAAGGTGCCACTGGCAGCTCTTCCACACTGTGAGTCTGTACAGCAACATTCACAGAGCCAGAAGCTCCTCACACACATCCATATGTGTCCTAGTATAATCACAAGACAGAACTCTACCAGAGAAGTAACCCACATAACAGCACTGATGGAAAACAATTATGAAATATTCATCTATTCTTACAGTAATAAAAAAAAGATCATTCAAACAAGTAATAAGAACTAGTACTATCTGCTGAAAAGGAGAAAGATATGTAGACAATCTTAAGTTAATAAAGAAAGTAGTAAAAATAATAATACTCAGTTAGTGTAAACTTGTTTATGTATACCAATAAAAGATAGAAACAGTAGGTTTCAGTTATACCAGCACCTTTTGTGATAGCTAAGAATTGGAAACAAAATAGATGCCCATCAACTGGGGAATGGCTAACCAAATTGTGTGTTTAAAGAAATGACATGTAATGAATACAGAGAAGCCAGGAAAGATCTATATGAACTGATGTAGAGTGAAGTCAGCAGACACAAGAAAACAATATGTAGTCCCCTTCGACATTCATGGGTTTTACATTTGCTTATTTGCTGGTTCTCCATCAGAATTTTTGGAAATTTTTGAGGTACTGTGAAATATCACAAATGATGTGTGTATATAAAGAAAAGCAAAAAAAAAAATTAAGTCACAAGTAAATAAATATTACATATTATTAATCTGTTTTATCATTTATTACAACAAGTATACATACACAAAATTATTACAAGCAGTTAAATTTTGTTAAAGTCTCAGTGTGCCAAAAAATTACAGGCTCCAACCGTCTCTGGGGAACTCCTCCTCTTGGCCTCTCTACCCATTCAGACTCAGCCACATGATATTTTTTCCCACAGTGATCTTAGTATCTTGCACTTTTAGTAGAAGGAAATCCATGAAGCAATTGCTGCAGCTATACCTGGAAGACTGCATAGTGTGTGAAATAACTAACTAATCTCTTGCACAAAAATTGCAATTTTTTTGTGGGTGCAGAGTGTTGTTTTACTTATTTTGGGTGTTAAATAAATATGATCAGAATTATTAAAAATGAAGGTTTAGGGTGGGGCCTAGAGTTATTTATAGGGATCCCTGTGCCCCTAACCACCCAACAAACATTGAGGGACAGCTGTACCTGGTAACTACAACAATGTAAATTGAAAGAACCACACACCCAAAAATCAAAAGTAAATGTAATAAAACTATAAAGATCAAGTGGGACTCAAATGAAGACAGGTAAGAGGACTCCTATCGTGGAGGTGGGAAGCCTACAGATGTTAGACATTGCACAAGTTTTCATACTTTTTCAATGCATCAGTCAGCTGGGCTCACTTTTTTCCCTCTCTAAATAATAATTTGTCAAAAGGAATTTGGGAGGAGCAGAGGGAGGCACATTTGGGATAATTATGGCAAAGGTAAAAACAGAAAATATTTATGAAAACTTAAAAGAAAAAAGAAACTGAAACTTTAAGCTTGACTCTAGGAAGTCAAAATTGAACCAGTACATGAAGGCAATTCAAATAACTTGAAGAGCATAACTTACGAAGGAGAAACTTTTTACATGAATATTAAGAGAATACTGGCATCGCAAAATCAAAGCTTAATGAGAACACAAAAATAACTTAATCTTATGTAAGACCAGCCTTAAGGTATAGTTTCAGAACTCTAAAGTGGACCTTAATAGATACAGAAAAGCATCCTCACGAAAAACATTAATGAACAGATCAAAATGTGGGAGAAGACATTCTCATAGCACATTATAAATAGGTCAAAAAAAAAAACTACACAAACACTTCACACAAGTAATTCAACAAGCAATAGTAAATGTTGAAAACAGATATATACTATCATATTCGCTGAATGGAACAGAAAGCAACTTCCCTCTGAATGGAGTCAGTTAATAAACATTTATTAAGCACCTACTATGCTCTAAGAACTGTGCTAAATGTTGGGGGATGCAAAAAAGGTCAGAAGATAGTCCCTGATGTCAAGGAGCTCAGTCTAATCAGGGAGATAACATGCAAACAAGCTATATGTAAGAGAAATTGGAAATAATCAATAGAAGTAAGGTACCAGAATTAAGCAGGATCAGGAAAAACTTCTCGTAGGTAAGGATTTTAGCTGATAGATGAAGGAAGCTAGGAGGTGGAGATGAGAAGGAAAAGGAGTTACCATACGTATGATGTTTACATCTGTAATTTAACTGGTTTAACAGGCTTCACAACCAAGTGGTGAATTTTTTTGGCCACAATGACACATAAAATCACCTAAGTCATTTAGGACCTTGTGATCTGTATCAATACCTATCCATCAGAAAAAGAACAATATACCTTTACTCAGAGCAATAAATACAAGGCTCTTTCCACATGCTAAAATACATACAAATGAATGATCACTTAAAATCTGAACTCCATTTCTTTAGGCAGTTTCTGATTAAGGATCCCAAGCTTGTCATCAATGTAATTTCTTCTAGAGAATCTAGACTGACATAGTGTTGCACAGAAGATTATAAGACAAAAAATATTTATAAATTAATGTATGATGAACATTCCAAATGACCAGATGTCGTAGTTGAAAAGACCATGCTCAAAACAAGAGGATCTCTATCCAGGACCATCTTCCATATCTCCTCATTGAGGACAGACAAGTGGCAGAAGGCCTAATCTCTGTGGCTATCCCCAAGGCTCATTTAAATTTGCAGAGAAACAGCCAACATGACAGAGCTCCCACCTTCACAGGCCTAATTTCCACTCTCTTCCAACATTTCAGGATGTTTCCAAGATTCCAAATATTAATCCTGCCTTTCTCTAGTCCTAGAAAGTTCCAAAAGTAAAAAGAAAACAAACAAGCTTTTGGAGCCTCTCTCATGAATATTTTTTTGTATTCTTTTAGACTTTGGGGCAAATTTACATAATACCTTTCCCAACTCCTCAAGAATTGGTTCAAATATTTACTTTTCTTGACTCATTAGTAATATTGAGTATTTTGAATGGGTACCTCGGGAAGGGGCCTGGGGATGGTACCATAAGCTTTGAGTAGTAGCTACCCTCACCTTATCACCATTTCATCCTTGCAGGACCAAGTCCGAGGGTGGGTGACTGAAGGTAGAGCTTGGGTTGGGTGGGTAATCTCTCCCCATCCCTTGTTTAATATGAGGACACTTCCTGGAGGAATTGGGATTTAAGGAGACTTTTGAATGAAGAGAGGAGGTAGTTTGGCAGATATGAGATGAAAGGTTGTTCCAGGGGCAAAGGATGACCTGGAAGAAGTCAGAGGAGGGAACAGGAGAAAGGAACGGAGGGGGATACAAGGAAATTAGCTTGGATGGATTGAAGACAACAGCCAAAGGAAGAAAATGGCTCATTATGAACTTACTACAATCGAATTAATCTTAACATTAAAACAACAATTTTTGTAATTGATTTGGCCTCTGGCTTTCAATTAAATATAGAGAAAGGTGGCCTTACTGAGATTTAAATCATTCAGGAGACAAATGTAATTAATAAAAAATGACTTGCAGAAGCTTAAGATCTGCCTTTTGTGCTGATAAATGTCAATTAAAATCATGCTGATTCTTTACCTGTATCTGAGTCTTTTTGATCTCCATTTGTTCCAACAGTGAAGGGCAACTTCCGTTTTGTAGCTCTTTCTTTTACTTCTTTCCCTCCATCACTCCGGTCCAATTTTGGAGTCTTGGTTAGAGAAACTTTATCTTTATCCTAGAAAGAAAAGCAAAAATTTAAGATATACTTTGAAGGGCAAAAAATACAGCAACAAAGTCTTCCATTGTTGCTTATAAATAGTAAGTCAACTCAGTCAGTACACAAAGGGGAAAGGCATTAAAAATGCCAGCTGAGTGACTAGTTGACTAACTGAATGCCACTATATTACACTGTTTTTATAAACAACAACAAAAAAAACAAACAAAAAAAAACCAAAACAAAACAGAATTTAAGTATCCAAAATGAATACAGTCCTGCCAAACAACTTCGGTATTCTATCCATTCATTCAAACAGGGTTATTAATCCGCAAAAGCCTTTTGGAATAGCTTCTTTTGCTTCCAGAGCAAGTAAAATAGCTGCATAAGTCAGTATTGCTCAATTTTTTTAAAAAAAATTATAATCCCCAGCTGAGATACACATCATATTCATCTTGTTGTTCTTCAGTCATTTTTCGGTCATATCCGACTCGTGACCTTCCTCGAGCTTCCATGACTCCTGGGAGAATCTGAGAAAAGTCAGTCACAGAATAGGTAGGGAAGGTGTTTATGCTTGAAATGAAGAGCACTTATGTGTTACAATTACATTAAGTTCTACTACTGTGCATTATATAGCACATCTGTTTTGTCACATATATAAATCACATTTGTGTCCTACTATATATAATCTGCAAACCTCTCCAATTTCATCTTCACAATGGCACCATAAAATGGGTATTTCTCTCAGGTTACTGTCCTCATTTGACAAAGGAAGAGATTGTATTTTTTAATCGAAAATTCTCCTTTTTTCTCGCTCATTAAGGAGGCCCTTAGAGAAATTGTATTTAGAACTAGAAGAGGCCTTTTGTTGTTTTTCAATTGTTTTTCAGTTGTGTCTGACTCTTCATAACCCAATTTAGGGTTTTCTTTGCAAAGATACTAGGGTGGTTTGCCATTTCCTTCTCTAGCTCATTTTACACATGACGGAACTAAGGCAGACAGGGTTAAGTGACTTGCCCAGGATCACACAACTAGGAAGTGTCTGAGGCCAAATTTGAACTCATGAAGATGAGTCTTCCTGACTCTGGGCCCACACTCTAACCACTGCACCACCTAGCTGACCCATCAAGTTCATCACTATGGCTCTAAATTACTTTTGGCTATTTCGAATCATCAGAATTACAGTAAAAGAGTAAAGATTTGATGAATTATAGTACTATCCAGGAAATACAAAAAATGCACTGTGGCTGTAGAAGAAAACTCTCCAAGAGGAGTGCAATGGACAACATTACTGGGATAAATAACCAACCTCTCAAGGTTCAGAGCCTAAGGTGGGGCAAATAGGACTCAAAATTTTGAAGGTATACCCAGATCCTCAAAGAGTACTCTGACCCCCTAACCTCAATGGCTGGTTACCCTCTATATTCAAGACGAGACTATTCCCCTTTCTCTCCCCTAGGTGGCACAAGGAAGAGAGAAACATTCCACTACATCTTCCCATCCCTACCACCAGCGTCCTCCTCTGGGGTTGAAGAAAGAGGTAGTGTTGGTCATCATCTGAAGCTGCATTGTCACAAGATTCTCCAACTTGTCACAACTATACTCTACTGATTGAATGTGTGAGTACAGGATTAAAGAGGAAAGCCAAACAGGAATCAAAGAAAGTGAAGGCTAGTGCTTATTTTCACAAGACAAGCTCCTGCAGTCTGGCAACACTTGAAGTCACCTGCTCCCTAACTCATCTAACCTGGCTTTCCCTGTTGCAGCGATCTATCTGGAGAGCAGAGGAAGAACTCTGTGTCTCTCTCCTCCACCTACCAACATTTTTTAAGGCACTTGCCCCTGGCAATGGAATTGCTAGTTATGGCTCTGAAAGATGACTGCCTGTGAGTGGACAACTTTCATTTGGATCTATTTATCAAAATATTACTGTTATAGTCATACTTAACGCTTCTATTATGTTCAAACAGAAAAGAGCCTGGGAAGCAAGAATGATTTTAATGTATCTCAAAATACCTGTCAGATGAGATAATGTGTATGGAGGCTTCTGAAAATAAATATCTTCAAAGAGAAAAGCAAAACTCTCAGAAAAAAAAAAAAACTTTTTTTTTTAAAATAAGCAATCAAAAAGCTGCATTTTATTTTAGTAAAATTGCTTGTTGGGACTAACTAGAGGATTCACTAGCTGAGAAACATCACCTCTAAAGAGCCAACTACCACATTTAAACTAGAAACGAGAGAACTTTGATTGTAACAGCTGGCTAGGGCAGTGGATAGAAACGGCGAGCGTGGAATCCAGAAGACCCGAGTCCAAATCTGGCCTCCAATACTTCTAACTTGGTGACCTGGATAAGCCACTTAACCTGTTTGCCTCAGTATCATCACTGTAAAATGGGGGTAATAATAGCACCTATCTCTCAGGGTTTTTGTGAGGATCAAATGAGGTAAAAATTTTAAAGTGCACAGTGCCTGGCACATAGGAACCACCATATAAATATTAGCTATTAAAATAGCTACTATTATAAAAATTAAAAAAATCTATTACAAAGATTATCTTATTAATATTTCTTCATGGCCAAGAAAAATTCTGCACAGTCGCAAATAAACTTTCCTAAAACATTCCATAAAGAACAAGGAAATACATGAATAAATTTTTTAAATACACTTACATGAAAGTAGCTCATAATAGCAAATGAAATCACTGTAGGCAAATATGATTTCATTTATAATGGTAGGTCATGGCAAGGCAAAAGGATCAAGCAAGGACTGGTATTATGTCAAAAGAAGACAGATACAAACATATATGCTATTTCAATATAGAATTTTCGGAAACCTCAGTTATGAGTCTTAATTTTAAAAAATTCTCAAATAATGGAAACTTTGAAAAAATTCCGGTTACACATCTTGAAACCCATTCCTCACTAACTAAAGCAGAGATTCTTAACTTGGGATTCATACACTTTTAAAATTGTAGATAACTAGTTTTCTTTGTCATCTTAAGCATTTTATTTATATATTTTAAAACATTCTGCAAAGAGAGGGGCAGAGCCAAGATGGTGGAGTAAAAGCAGTGACTTGCTTGAGCTTTCCCCCAAACCCCTCCAAATAACTGTAAAAATGGACTCTAAACAAATTCTCGAGCAGCAGAACCCACAAAAAGACAATTTCCAGACCAAGATAACCTGGATGGTTGACGGAAAAGGTCTGTGGTGATGGCTGGGAGAGGAGCATAGTCCAGGGTGGGCTGCACGGGCAAAGACTGGCCCTCAGCAAACACAAGGCCTCAGGGGACTGAATCATTGGTAGTTGTAGCAGTTTCCAGACTTCTCAAATGCCAAATGCCAAAGACAACTTAGAAGGTCAGTAGGAAAGATCTGTTGGATGAGGTGAGAAAGGAGCACCGACTGGCCTCAGCCATGGGGTGGAGGTTGCTTCTGGAGCTCTCGGCCCACATAGATGGTGGGGACATCAAGCAGCTGATCAAAGGGGCATTACAGGGATCTCTTTGCTGGTGCTGAGGCAGGACTCTCTAGCTTTGTCTGTGCATGGATCTGGGTAGCAGTGCTGGGTGGTGGTCCTGGAGCGAGAAGGAGCGCTGGCATGGCAGAGCTTGTGGTGGAGGTGGAGAGCGAATCCTCCTCACAGTTCCAAGGCAGAAAAGAATGCTTGTGGTCACTCATAGACCACAGCACAGGTCAGGAGAGGACTAAACATCTATCCTTAGGTCATACCACCTTGGAAGAACAGAAAATTTACAGGTCCCTAGAAGTATATCTGAAAACAGCTGCACAAAACCCCTGAAGCTGGGGACAGTACATCCTTCACACTAGAAGCAGAGCCCTACCTTAACAAAGAGTTTAAAAGTCAGGTAAGTGGCTAGAAACATGAACAAACAGCTCAAAAAAAAAATCAGACTACAGAATCTTCCTTTGGTGACAAGGAAGATCAAAACATACAATTAGAAGATGACAACAAAGTCAAAGCTCCTACATCCAATGCCTCCAAGAAAAATAAGAATTGGTCCTAGCTATGAAAAAGCTCAAAAAGGATTTTGAGAAGCAGAACAAAAATTGGCAAGAAAAATGAGAGTGATACAAGAAAATCATGAAAAACAAGTCAATAGCTTGCTAAAGGATACTCAAAAAAAATACTGAAGAAAATAACACCTTAAAAAACAGACTGACCCAAATGGCAAAAGAGGTCCAAAAAGCCAACAAGGAGAAGAATGCCTTAAAAAGCAGGCCAAATGCAAAAGCAGGTCCAAAAGCTCACTGAAGAAAATAATCCCTTAAAAATTAAAAATGGAACAAATGGAAGCTAATGACTTTATGAGAAATCAAGACATTACTAAAACAAAACCGAAAGAATGAAAAAATAGAAGACAATGTGAAATATCTCATTAGAAAAACAACTGACCTGAAAAATAGGTCCAGGAGAGAGAATTTAAAAATTATTGGACTACCTGAAACCCGTGATTTATAAAAAAAAAAAAAGCCTAGATATCATCTTTCAAGAAATTATCAAGGAAAACCGCCCTGATATTCTAGAACCAGAGGGTAAAATAGAAATTGAAAGAATCCACCAATCACCTCCAGAAAAAGATCCTCAAAGGAAAACTCCTAGGAATGTTATAGCCAAATTCCAGAGATCCCTGGTCAAAGAGAAAATATTGCAAGCAGCCAGAAAGAAACAATTCAAGTATTGTGGAAACACAATCAGGATAACACAAGATTTACCAGCTTATACATTAAGGGACCAGAGGGCTTGGAATATGATATTCCGGAGGGCAAAGGAGCTAAGATTAAAACCAATAATCACCTACCCAGCAAAACTGTGCATAATTCTTCAGAGGAAAAAATGGATATTCAGTGAAATAGAGGACTTTCGAGCATTCTTGATGAAAACACCAGAACTAAATAGAAAACGACTTTCAAATACAAGATTCAAGAGAAGCATGAAAAGGTAAATATGAAAGAGAAATCATAACGGACTTATTAAAGTTGAACTGTTTATTTTCCTAC